AATGTCATACATATGTCCATGCTCTGTATACAACAACTTACTCCCCTCTTACCTGCTGCTGGATCCAATGTCATACATATGTCCATGCTCTGTATACAACAACTTACTCCCCTCTTACGTGCTGCTGGATGCAATGTCATACATATGTCCATGCTCTGTATACAACAACTTACTCCCCTCTTACGTACTGCTGGATCCAATGTCATACATATGTCCATGCTCTGTATACAACAACTTACTCCCCTCTTACGTGCTGCTGGATCCAATGTCATACATTTGTCCATGCTCTGTATACAACAACTTACTCCCCTCTTACGTACTGCTGGATCCAATGTCATACATATGTCCATGCTCTGTATACAACAACTTACTCCCCTGTCACGTGCTGCTGGATCCAATGTCATACATATGTCCATGCTCTGTATACAACAACTTACTCCCCTCTTACGTGCTGCTGGATCCAATGTCATACATATGTCCATGCTGTTAGCGTTTCATGAGCAGAGATGTTAGAATGCCTACTGGGGTATTCTGTCAAGACATGCCTGGGCTGGTTTACTACAGGTGATACAAAATAAAGATCATGCTGTCCTTCTGTCATCATTTCGTCTATTTAATTGACATATAAGTGAACTTGGTGTGTCTGTATAGCACAGAGTAAACGATACCCACAGGCAGTCTTGTGTTGATAGTGAATGCATAGCTTACTCTCTGAAACAATAGAACTGTATAGACGTACAAAAACTTAGTATAAACTGAAATGAAGCTCCAAAGAACATGAGGACAATTTACACTTGGTTCATTTTGGGCATTTGCATGACAAGGTGCTAGGGGAAGGGGGAATGTTGCGGTTCAAGAACTGGAAGACTCGGAAGATTGGCCAATACTTTTGTGGCTGGTGTGGTCGTAGTCAAGTAGTTGTTGTGCAGATCAGGCCATTCCAGGTATCTCTCCAACAACCGTATCCACTGGTCTGATTATCCTGTGGGTCGTATGGACTTTGTCATTTCAGGCTGCAAATGGCCTATTTGAAATTTCCAGGCTTGCAATTTACGGACTAAGTGATGCCCGTAGGTTTGGGCAAAACCCTTTATTGACGCTTAGTGTTCTATGATTTTCTCCAGACATTAACCTCATATACAGTTTGTCACGTTCAGCCAATGCCGAATACTTAACCCACAGCTACATACAAAGCGTTCATTAGGGTAATCACATATCTTATGAAAATGGAATTCAATGCGTCCTTAAAAATATACTTGACGTCTTTCATAAACAGAGTATGTCCCATTTCACTAACACCAAAAGAAACATACTTTGAACAAACTGACACTTTATGTGTTTTCAATGTAATTACCTACAACTTTTTTCACCAAAAGTATTACCGTCAAACAATATCTGTCGCTGGCCAAAATATACGTACAATCTAGACTGACAGTATCTCAGACTGGTATCCCAGATTTGCGATCTCGTCCCAGCAATTACATCTATAAAAGGTGGGGCCAAATGTTACCAAATGTCCTTGTCCTCCGCTCTAGTATAGTCTACTCACAGTATGTTGTGTGTCTCTCGTCATCATGCCCATCTAACTGTATCACTATAGCACAGCTGTTCAAAGCGGCATTACACCTCATTCCATTGACTTACAACTCGCGATCGTTCATTCACCGCTACAAAGAGAAACGAAGCAAAACAGAACCAAAACTGAAATATACATGTGCAATATAATGGTCTGATGTATAGGAAATGTGAAAATGGGTGCACAAAATAGAAACGTGACGTCAAGTATTTCAAATGTTAGCATTGCTCTACGAAATAATATAATTTAATACCTGAAATCTCACTAAATGTCCTTGTCCAACCATATTACCACATGAATTTCTCATCTTCAGGGTCATCTAAGGGATAGAAATAAAAACTGCGCACATTCATTTTACTTCCTAACAAGCAATAAAATCTGAAAAGAGAACAATTTGGCTTTGGGTGACATTTCAATATAGTGTCTCCTGTGTATAATATGTGAAAACAGAGATACAGTATACCCTTGACCTCAAGACTTCAATTTGTATACTTCCTTTCAAAAGTTTAGACTCACTTAAGACAGTCTAAACTTTTGATGGGAAATATATTACACTAGTGAGTCTAAACTTTTAGAAAGGAATTATATATGGTTTTAGGAAACATCGCTCAATACTAGAAATATCATCCTTACAAATATACTTGACGTCTTTCATAAACAGAGTATGTCCCATTTCACTAACACCGAAAGAAACATACTTTGAACAAGCTGACACCTTATGTGTTTCCTATTTAATGACCTACAACTTTTATTTTCCAAAAGTATCACCGTCAAAAGAATAACTATCGCTAGCTGAAATATACGTCCAATCTCAGACTTGTGACCTCGTCCCAGCTGTTACATCTGGTAGATACATGCATCTTTATATGGTAGGGCCAAATGGCACCAAATTCCCTTGTCGTCTTTAGTATAGTCTACTCACAGTATTTTGTGTCTCTCGTCATCATGCCCATCTAACTGTATCACTATAGTACAGCTGTTCACTACTACAAAGAGAAACGAAGCAAAACAGAACCAAAACTGAAATATACATGTGCAATATAATGGTCTGATGTATAGGAAATGTGAAAATGGGTGCACAAAATAGAAACGAGACGTAAAGTATTTCAAATGTTAGTATTACTGTACGAAATAATATAATTTAATACCTGAAATTTCTCTAAATTTCCTTGTCCAACCATATTATCACATGAATTTCTCATCTTCAGGGTCATCTAACATCTAACGTACAAAAATAAAAATTGCGCACATTCATTTTACTTCCTAACAAGCAATAAAACAATTTGGCTAGTGTCTCCTGTGTATAATATGTGAAAACAGAGATACAGTATACTCTTGACCTCAAGACTTCAGTTTGTATACTTCCTTTCAAAAGTTCAGACTCACTTAAAACCGTCTAAACTTTTGATGGGAAGTATATTACACTAGAGATTCTAACGTTTTTTGAAAGGAATTATATATGGTTTTAGGAAACATCGCTCAATACTAGAAATCGATCGATTTGAATATTGCATGTCTGCAATTCACTGACAAAGCTATGCCCATACGTTTTGGTGAAGACACAAGCCATTCCAGACGAACACCATGCACAGAATGTCATAAACCACAGCTCTGCACTGACTTTCATTCTTTTTTTATGTCAGACAAACACGTACTCTTTCACTTCCGTGCCTGTGCATAGAAATAAGAAACCGTATTTATCACAAAATATGTCACACATGCCCGTCTCACCGCCATCTTCTAACGTGGGCAGTTCCCTGACAAACTCTCCCCACTCTGTAAGCTGTATCACCTTGTCAGTGTCCCTGTCTACAAACAGGATGTCTCCTGTGCTGGTAGTTGTGATACCATGAGGGCTGCTGAGTGCCTTGTCTCCGGCAGGGGCGTATCTCCATAAAACATCCCCCTCTGACGTCAGACATGTCACAGTCGCGTTCCTCCAGTCAGACACGAGTAGGTTGCCCTTGTTGTTGACATACATGTAGTCGGGGTCGGTAAACAGTGAGTCGCCATTGTATGTAGTGATTGACCTCAACACGTGTCCAGCCATGTCCAGGATATCCACACAGTCCCAAGTACCTGCTGCAAGACAGGAAGGGTTCAGAACAGCCAGACTGAAGTATTGGGTACGTGTTGTGATGTTTGACAACAGCACAAGGTCAGGGGGTCACTTCTACTGTTACAATCTGACGGGATAAAGGGACAGCAACCATCACCTGCTTCTCATTCAACTGTGTTATCCCATATGGAGTGTTATCCAGGGGAAGTTTACTATGGCATGAAAGATTGTTTCTTGTGAAGAAAGATTTCACACACATGTTATTATAGTCCGTAACAACACGTGTCTGTACACCATCTACAACCAGGACTATCATATCATATAGTTTAGGCTTCTCATCATCCACCACCCCATCTCTCGTGTCAACCAGCACAGGAGTTGACAGACATCTGTCCTGGTATGTGACGTCGATGGCCCCAAAGTGCACGCTATCTAGGACCTTCATGACTTTTACAGTGTCTGGTGTAAACCCGATGTGATCTATTCTCTGGATGTCTGCTGCCTCTGTATCCCTGACATCCTCAATCTTTACAGCTCCAGACCCCCAGACCTGATACGCTTCATACAGGTCCATCTCACAGTCCAATACCAAGGCATGGTCAATGAACTCACAATGTTGTCTGTACATCTGCATCTCGATCGCTTCCAGCTTCACATCAGCTCGGGGTTGGTCGGCGTATGTCTGTGATATGTTATTCAGTTCATCCAAGAGTTGCGTTTCTTTCTGTTTAATCTTGTTAATGGCTGTCTGGCAGATCAATCTAATATTTTGAACAGCTGACTCTGTGATTCTAGAATTACTTTGGAGCTTCTCGTTTCGTATGTCTACTTTCTTCGACCTCACTTTCAGTCTCTTCTCCATGCCAAGTCTCTTCTCCATCAGTGCTGCCTTCATCCCTGGCTTCATAGACTCAATGGTGACGACAGTCTTACAAGCTCTGTAGTAGATGATACAACATGTCTGACAGGCAGCCTTCCCACAGTCTTGACAGTGGAACTCAACATGGTTACTCTTGTGTTCCGTACACTTGATCCTCCGTTTGACCTTTGACCTAGATGACAGATCACACAGGTCATGGTTTAGTGAATTGGGTGTCACCTGGTGTATCTTCACACATTTGTCACAGAGGACCACTTTACACTCACGACACCACAAGGCCCCTGGAGTTGTCTCCCCTAGTTGCTGACAGATCGTACAACAGGTGCTCGAGGTCTCTGTAAACACAAGTTAACGTACTTACTTTCATCACAACTTGAAAAGGCTACTAAAGAAAGCAGGGTATTGTTAACACACACAGATGTCAATATTAAGTCTACCACTGGTTTTAAATACATACACACACACGTATCATATTTCCAGTTTACCTTGCACATCTTCCTCGGACCTATAGGTGTCAATCAGCCCCTTTATCACAATGCTGGCTTTGATCTGCCCCGCCCACTCCTCCACCGGCCTGCCGGGGTGGGTGACCTTGGTGTGTTGTCGACAGCAGGGACAGAGGATGGTCTTGGACTGTACAGCATCAGGTCTGATTTGGATGTATGAGGTGACACATTTCCTGCAGAATGTGTGATCACACCTCAGTGTACACGGGTCTGTGTACATCTCCAAGCAGATGGAGCACGTCAGGAAATTATCCTTTACTTTCTTCTCTAGCCCGGCGGTCACCATCTGTAAGATACACATGTAGTTTGTGCCTGTTTAGTTTAATACAAATAGACTACGCTTTACTCACTACAGATTCCATAAGCAGCAATGAATGATCTGTATACTAACACACGCACGGACACTGTATAAATATAAACGGATGTCACATCATTTAAATATCTATCTCTCTATCTATCTATCTATCTAACTGTATATACATACACTACACACACATACACACACACACACACACATATATATATATATATATATATATATATATATATATATATATATATAGAGAGAGAGAGAGAGAGAGTGAGAGAGTGTGAGTGTGTGTGTGACTGTGTGTGTGTGTGACTGTGTATACAGTTAGATAGATAGAGAGATAGACAGTGTGTGATATGCAAACTGCATGTGAGCCTCTGTACCCGAACAGTCAGACTGGGTACACTGACACCTTTTTTACCTTACCATAGTTACTATATTATTTACCATGCGAGTCCGTAGTAATCTTGGGAGCATATTTGCGCAAATGGTGCCAATCTCAACTGCTTGTCGTCCAGGATAATCCTGCCACACAGTATCAGGAACAGGTTTTCACCCACGTTCTTCTGCCATATATGAAGCTACATGATCCTGGACTGACATGTTACTATGACAACGTCGAGCCCCACCCTGTTGTTACTAACGCTGGTGTTGACGTCATGGACTGGCCTTCCATTTCCCAATTGACACAGTGTTTTCTCTGACTGTCTATATTGAACGGTATATTAACAGGGTAGTTCGGCTAAAACCTACATTCCTGCCTGATATATGCACTTCAGTTGTGGAAAACACAACCCACATATCTGCTCCGCCACGACTTGGATCATGTACAATGTACATATACATGTATATAATCTAATTACTCACCTTTAACCTCGAACCCTTTTCAAAGGCAAACAATGAATCGACACATGGTCGGTCTACGCCCCTTAGCCACCAGAAGTAAGGTATCACACAAAACACAGTAGGAGGAACGATTGAATGGACACCCTCACCGAAATTATACCTGAACACTGACTATTACACAAACCAATGAGCAGGTCAATGTCAGATCTTATTTACGTCATCATAGTTACCATATTATTGACCATGCATGTACTTAATAATCTTGGGAGTATATTCGTGCCAATGGTCGATCTCAGCCGATTGTCATCCAGGATAATGTTACTGCTATACAGTATCGGGACCAGGTTAACAGGGACTCTCGACCCAAACCTACGTTCCTGCCAGATACATGCACTACAGGCGTGGAGAACACAACCGACATACCTGCACCGCCACCACTATACTCATGGTGTCTATTCACTCACCCTTAACCTCAACCCTTTTCAGAGACAAACACTTACACTACACATGATCGGCAAACCCCTCAGCCAACAGTAGTAAGGTATCGCTAAAACACGGTAGGGAGGAACGATTGAACAGATACATCTATTGCAAGTACACCTGAACACTATTAATCAAGTCCATGAATCAGTCAATGACAATACCTTTGTATAATTGGATTTACCCACTTAGCTCCAGTACTAGGTGTTACAACACCATCGAGAGGATATGGTATAAAGTGATAACGAAAGTAGACAACTTACCCTCACAATTATCACTGATTTCAAGACGTATTGACACTCGTATATTTCTATCAGATAATGAACAACATTTGACAAAAAACAATAAATGGTATCAGTTATCAGTTCAACAATATGTACTTTACAGAAAATCACAAGCAATGACTTAAGCCTACCTTTCCGGTGTGGTTTTGGGTGTGGTTTGCTGCAAACGGTTAAACTCGACCTTTTCCGTAAGTGTTCTCCGGCTGGGCGCTTATCGGCCTTTGTTGACGTGAAGGAGAAAACACGTCTGTGTATAACGAAAAACCTGGGAAAACAGGAGCCCGAAAACAATATAATAAAAAGTATATTATATACTCATCTAATGTGTTGTCATAATTGGAGGGGGAGGAGGTGGGGGTTTGGGTGACAACCATTATTGGCATGAGTATATGATTCAAATCTCTTGTTAAAACGGAAATATGGATGTGATCTGATCTTGGAATCTACAGAATTTACTGAAAACACTTTGTTGAAGGTGTATAAATAACAAATATTTATGATTACACAATGCTTTTTGGGGGTTGAGGGTCCGATCCGAGATTCGAACCAACACCCTCAGAGTCAGGCACCAAATCGCTAGCACACAGACTACCAGTTGTCCAACTTCCATTTTTGTGGAAGTCGCGCTGGCTGAGCGGGTTAGGCGGCTGACTTTGTGTGCTGGCGATTTGGTGCCTGATTCTGAGGGTGTGGGTTCGAATCCCGGATGGGACTCAACCCCCCAAAAGTACTAGAATTTGTACTTTACTAAGAAAGCGTAATCCCAAATATAACATATGTAACAAATATTTCTATTGTCTAGGACATCGCAGTGAGGCAGTAAGGGTGTACAAACGGTTATCTGACGACCAGAAAGCTGCAGTGACTGACATCTGAAAAGTCAAGACCAGCCGAGGCCCACCCGCAAACCACTGTAACCATGGTTACAAAGACCGACCCACAGCCAGAATGTGCTGTTGGAGAGGCTTGTTCACAACCCGAAATCCCATCTACTGACTGGCACAAAACTTTCCATGTCACTCTAAGCTTTAAGCAGTTAATAATTAAATAAAGAATTTTATCTTTTGAATTTTGTTATTTTATCTTGTCACAGGTATTATCACTGGTAAAACCCGGTTAGGGGGTTTTTATTCTAAAAGTAACACCTCTAACCGGGTTTTACCACTGATAAAACCTCCAAATGGAGATTATTCCAAGCTTTTAAGCTACCTCTTCAATAAAATGGACAAAAATAGGTTTAGGTTTATAATGTCTGTAAAACAAGCACCCGGTGTTGGTATGCTTACAAAAATTCAGATAATGTGTCAACATAACCAAAAGAGAACGTTGATGCATTAAAGTGGCAAAAAAACTAAAGGTCCATTAAAGGAACTTTCAGAAATTGGTTACAATTCTTTCCCTGTCCTACACCTACTCCCTGTGTTTCCCAACTGAGCGATTTAATCTTTTACACATACGTATACTGAGTTTGAACACGTATCTAAACAGTTAGTGACCGTTCACATGTATTCATGTTCATCCAACTTCTAAATGCCTTCCAAGAACTGAAATGCATGTGTTGTGTAATTGTTACTTATAACACACCTTGACTTCTCCCACCAGTGAAGGTCCGGGTTAGAATTGATCCTCAGTAGCCCATGCTTGGCGGCTTGTCGTAGGAGGCGACTAACGGGATCGGTTGGACAGGCTGGCTGACTTGGTTGACTCATGTCATCGTATCACAGTTGCAAAGATCGATGTTCATAATGCTGATCACTGTCTGGTCCGGGCTCGATTATTTACAGATAGCCGCCATATAGCTGGAACGTAGCTGAGTGCGGCGTTAAACAACAAACCATAATCAGCCAACATTGACCTCCCTGAACACTAATTCAAATAGAAGAGAAAAAACACCTTGTTTATTCAAATTCTAATTTTAAAAATTACAGTGACAAAAAAAAGTTATTCAGACTGTTATACTGACACAGACACATTGAGAAGCATATGTTTATCAGGCCGAGGTCAGCTGTTGCTGGCGAGGTGCAGGCGGAGCAGCATTCGGCACATACACGATGTATCAATGTCTCTCGCTCTCTCGGTTCATGATGTTGATCACTGGACTAACCGGTCCAGACTCGATTAGTTACAATATTCCGCCATATGGTTGGAATATCGCTGAGTTGAGCGTTAAACAAGAGACAAACAAACAGGACAGAAATAATTACATCCCCCTGACATTGTGACAATTAAGATCACCCGCATATCAGGCTAATAGATGAATGGTTTTCTCTGCCATTCCAAGATTCATGCAAAAAGTGAAATATTTTCTATGTACAGAATGGGGATGATTTCTTTTATTAGCCTTTTCTTACCGGATGTTTCATGTTGATAATATGTGTTGTGTCCGACATAAATCAATCCACGATGAGCATATTCAGTGTCAAACATTACGTTTGTAAATTCTCCAGTATGTTTTAGTTATACTGCTTTGCATTTGTTTTGGGAAAAAGTGATGAAATATTCCCCAACTTTAGTGAACAGTTTTGTTGATGCTAGCAAATGATTTGGTACTTCAAATAGAAGTTGAGTTCATGATATCACCTCCCGAGGTGTGCAATCTAAACTAGATGTTGCAGCTTTCCTGTTTGCAACTGTTATGTTCCTACACAATGTCAAGCATAAAGTTTAAATGCAACATGCACGATGAAGCTGAAACTCTTGCTACGTTTCACAGAAATCAGCATATAGTAATACCTTTTCCATATAAACATACCTTTTACACAGTTAAAGTTGTAATGCACGTGCATCACGATCACAGCCCGTGATTGAATAATGACAATTCAAGCAGATCCATCGCCCTATTTGGATCATGAATGTAACCGTTTTGTCTATAGTCCGGCTCGGCGTCAAGGACCACATTGCTAATCAGGCTGAAATGCGACCTAACCTTAGTCAGAAACTATCATCGAACACGAACAAATATCATGCACTACTTGAGCTTAGCTTGGATTGTCAGCTTTAATATTTCACTGGGTGCAGTTAAACAAAAAGCACAAATACCTTCATGTGAACAAGACCCTATTAGGCTATCATGGATATTTTCTCTTTTTTTTTCGCTCATATTTCAGAATTATTACTAGACAGTTTATGTCATGCTCAAGAAACAAAATGCTTCTATATTTTGACAAAGGCTCGACGTATTGCCTTGATAAATCAGATAATATATAGAGGGCACAGACACTCATCTGATATGCTCCGGTAATGAAGCCAAACTTTCGTTAAAGTCTCACACAAATCTCATGGTTCCTGCAGCTCTTTAATGCAGAATATACCGCACGCTCCTTAGGCGATTCCCAACTTGTTTGAATCAGTTAAGTGAAATTGACAAGAGACATGTGAATGAATATAGAGAAAGAAAGACAAGAAAATGTTGCCTCATTTTAACGCCGGGTCAAATGAACTGGCAAACACTCAAGTGTAATTTTAATAATTTTTCCGCGAAAGTGGCAAGGGTTTTGTTTAAAATTTTCCGGAATGTTCATGCATGTGGTTGTTAGGGAAACTGTATCTTTCCTATTATTGTAATCATATATCTTATGAAAATGGAATTCCATGGGTCCTTACAAATATGATTGACGTCTTTCATAAACAGACTATGTCCCATTTCACTAACAGCAAAAGAAACATACTTTGAACAAACTGACATTTTATGTGATTTCAATTTTATGACCTACAACTTTTTTCACCAAAAGTATCACTGTCAAACAATATCTGTCGCTGGCCAAAATATACCCAATCTAGACTGACAGTATCTCAGACTGGTATCCCAGATTTGCGATCTCGTCCCAGCAATTACATCTATAAAAGGTAGGGCCAAATGTTACCAAATTTCCTTGTCCTCCTCTCTAGTATAGTCTACTCACAGTATTTTGTGTGTCTCTCGTCATCATGCCCATCTAACTAAATATACATATGCAATATAATGGTCTGATGTATAGGAAATGTGAAAATGGGTGCACAAAATAGAAACGTGACGTCAAGTATTTCAAATGTTAGCATTGCTCTACGAAATAATATAATTTAATACCTGAAATCTCACTAAATTTCCTTGTCCAACCATATTATCACATGAATTTCTCATCTTCAGGGTCATCTAACGGACAGAAATAAAAACTGCGCACATTCATTTTACTTCCTAACAAGCAATAAAATCTGAAAAGAGAACAATTTGGCTTGGGGTGACATTTCAATATAGTGTCTCCTGTGTATAATATGTGAAAACAGGGATACAGTATACCCTTGACTTCAAGACTTCAATTTGTATACTTCCTTTCAAAAGTTTAGACTCACTTAAAACAGTCTAAACTTTTGATGGGAAGTATATTACACTAGTGAGTCTAAACTTTTTGAAAGGAATTATATATGGTTTTAGGAAACATCGCTCAATACTAGAAATATCGTTTGGAATTTGTTTGGGCCCATGCTTTGTTGACCGGATGATGAGATCATTCTAAATACACATACACTGGTGTGGTCATATACACGGAAACATGTACACTTCCGAGTAACAAAAAACCTAACCAGCACAGGGTTCGTTATTCCTCAATTCTATCCAACACAAATTGTTCTTCGTTTGTCGAAAAACAAGTAATATATCCAGACTCTGTCCTAGCTTTAGTCTATCATAGGGATAAGGGAGAGGAATATTTATATTTAGGGATCTCTTCAAACTTCAGCTGGTTCAGCACACTGTTGAGATCAAGTTGTCGTTGTGTAGCTCAGGTCATCACAGGAATCTCCACAACAGCTGGTGATCTTTCACCTGGTGGACTTTTTCACTTCATGCTGGAAACGACCTATTTGAACATTGCATGTCTGCAATTCACTGACAAAGCTATGCCCATACGTTTTGCTGAAGACACAAGCCATTCCAGACAAACACCATGCACAGAATGTCATAAACCACAGCTCTGCTCTGACTTTCATTCTTTTGAGTTTTATGTCAGACAAACACGTACTCTTTCACTTCCGTGTCTGTGCATAGAAATATGAAACCGTATTTATCACAAAATATATCGCACATGCCTGTCTCACCGCCATCTTCTAACGTGAGCAGTTCCCTGACAAACTCTCCCCACTCTGTCAGCTGTATCACCTTGTACATGTCACTGTCTACAACCAGGATGTCTCCTGTGCTGGTAGTTGTGATACCACAAGGGTAGATGAGTGCCCTGTCTCCGGTGGGGGCGTATCTCCACACAACATCCCCCTCTGACGTCAGACATGTCACAGACTTCTTCCTGTAGTCAGAGACGAGTAGGTTGCCCTTGTTGTTGACACACATGTACCGGGGGGTTGGTAAACAGTGAGTCATTATTGTATGTAGTGATTGACCTTAACACGTGTCCAGCCATGTCAAGGATATCAATCCGTCCCCAAGTACCTGCTGCAAGACAGGAAGGATTCAGAACAGCCAGAATGTAGTATCCGGTACGTGTTTTGATGGTTGACAGCAGCACCAGGTCAGGGGTCACTTCTACTGTTACAATCTGACGGGATAAAGGGACAGCAACCATCACCTGCTTCTCATTCAACTGTGTCATCCCGTTTGGAGAGTTATCCAGGGGAAGCTTACTATGGCATGAAGGATTATTTCTTGTGAAGAAAGATTTCACACACATGTTATTGATGTCCGTAACAACACATATTTGTACACCATCTACAACCAGGACTATCATATCACATAGATTAGGCTCTACATCATCAACCACCCTCCCATCTCTCGTGTCAACCAGCACAGGAGTTGACAGACATCTGTCCTGGTATGTGACGTCGATGGCCCCAAACTGCAGACTATCTAGGACCTTCAGGACTTTTACAGTGTCTGGTGTAAACCGTATGTGATCTATTCTCCGGGTGGCTGCTGCCTCTGTACATCTGACATCCTCCATCTTTACAGCTGCAGACTCCCAGGCCTGATACGCGTCATACAGGTCCATCTAACAGTCCGATACCAAGGCATGGTCAATGAACTCACAATGTTGTCTGTACATCTGCATCTCGATCTCTTCCAGCTTCACGTCAGCTCGGAGTTGGTCGGCGTATGTCTGTGATATGTTATTCAGTTCATCCAAGAGTTGCGTTTCTTTCTGTTTAATCTTGTTAATCGCTGTCAGGCAGATCAACCTTATATTTTGCACAGGTAAATCTGTGATTCTAGCATTACTTTGGAGCTCCTCGTTTCGTATGTCTACTTTCTTCGACCTCACTTTCAGTCTCTTCACCATGCCAAATCTCTTCTCCATCAGTGTTTCCTTCATCCCTGGCTTCATAGACTCAATGGTTACGACAGTTTTAGAAGCTCTGTGGTAGATGATACAACATGTCTGACAGGCAGCCTTCCCACAGTCTTGACAGTGGAACTCAACACGGTTACTCTTGTGTTCCGTGCACTTGATCCTCCGTTTGACCTTTGACCTAGACGACAGGTCACATAGGTCATGGTTCAATAAAGTAGGGGTCACCCGGTGTATCTTCACACATTTGTCGCAGAGGATAACTTCACACTCAGCACACCACAAGACCCCTGGAGTTGTTTCCCCTAGTTGCTGACAGATCATACAACAGGGGCTTGAGGTCCCTGTAAACACAAGTACATATGTACTTATTTTCATCGCAATTTGAAAAGGCTACGAAAGGAAGCAGGGTATTTTTAACACACACAGATGTCAATGTTATGTCTACCACTGGTTTTAAATACACACACACGCGCAGGCACATGCACACGCACACACGCATATCATATTTTCACTTAACCTGGCACAGCCACCTCGGACCTATAGGTGTCAATCAGCCCCTGTATAATGATGCTGGCTTTGATCTGCCCCGCCCACTCCTCCACCGGACTGCTTGGGTGGGGGACCTTGGTATCTTGTCGACAGTAGGGACAGGGGATGGTCTTGGACTGTACAGCATCAGGTCTGGTTTGGATGTATGTATAAGGTGACACATTTCCTGCAGAATGTGTGATCACACCTTAGTGTACATGGGTCTGTGTACATCTCCAAGCAGATGGAGCACGTCAGGAAATTATCCTTTACTTTCTTCTCTAGCCCGGCGGTCGCCATCTGTAAGCTACACATGCAGTTTGTGCCTGTTTAGTTTAATACAAATAGATTTAAATTTACATTTTACTCAATACAAGCCGCAATGAAAGATCTGAACATACGCGCATCTGTATGTGTTGCTGTACACGAACACGCACGCACACACACACACATACTCAGTAAATATCAACGGATATCTATCTATCTATCTATCTATTTATCTATCTATATCTGAGCAGTCACTGATATCTTATTTACCTTACCATAGTTACCATATTATTAACCATGCAAGCAGGAGCATATTGGTGCCAATGGTACAAATGTCAGCTTATTGTCGTCCGTGATAGTGTTACTGCCATACAGTATTGGGACCAGGTTTTCACCCACGTTCTTGTGCCATATATGCAGGCAGCTACACGGTCTTAGACTGACATGTTACCATGACAACGTCCAGCCCCACCCTGTTGTTACTAACGCTGGTGTTGATGTCATGGACAGGCCTTCACGATCCCCATTAAGATATCTACTGTTTTCTCTGACAGCCTATACTGAACAGTATATTAACAGGGAAGTTCGGCCCAAACCTACATTCCTGCCAGATATATGCACTTGAGGTGTGGAAAACACAACCCACATATCTGCACCGCCACGACTTGGAGCATTACATGTTATCTATTCACTCACGGATTACCTCAACCCCTTTCAAAGGCAAACACTGACAATGCACATGCTCGACACGCCCCCTAGCCACAGTCAGTAAGTTGTCGCACATAACACAGAAGTAGGAACGGTTGAATGGATACCTTCACCGAAATAACACCTGAACACTGACTCCTTTGTATATATATTTGGAATTATCCTGTTAGCTGCAGTGACCATCGTTAAATGTGATAAAGAAAGTAGACAACTTCATCGTTAAATCCACATGTATCACGGTTTCAAGACGTACTAACGCTGGTATATTTCTCTTAGATAATGAATAACATTTGACAAAACACAATAACTGGTATCAGTTATCAGTTTGACAAGATGTACCTTAACGAAATCACAAGCACTGACATAAGTCTACCTTTCCGGTGGCTGTGTGATTGCGTGTGGTTTGTCACAATCGGTTGAACTCGCCCTTTTCCGTAAATGTTCTCTCTGCTCGGCGCATAACGACCTTTGTTGACTGTCCGTAAAACAAGCACTCTAAGCACTCTACTAAGTGATGACATCTTTCACCCATACTGAATTTGAACTGTATCTCCACAGTGAGTGAGTGTTAACTCTTGTAAGGAATTGGTAGGGTGGCACTTCCTGTCACTGGACAAACTTTCCAAAGAACGGCACTTATTTCAGTGTTAACCTAAAACTGAAAATTGAGTATACAAAGTATGACATATTGCAAGCAACTGTTTTGAAAAAAGAAATGCACATGCTTTGGATTTGTTACTCATAACTTAACCTGACTTCTCTGAACACTTGGGGCAGTGGGATAGCCTAGTGGTTAAAGACTTAGCTTGTCATGCCGAAGACCCGGCTTTGATTCCCCGCATGGGTACAATGTGTGAAGCTCATTTCCGTTGTCCCCGAAGTGATATTGCTGAAATATTGCTAAAAGCGGCGTAAAACCATACTCACTCACTCTGAACACTTGTTCAAATAAACGAGAAAAATACCTTGTTGATTAAACCAGCTGTAAAACATACAGTGATGAAAAAGTTCTTCAGAATAATATATTTACAGAGGCACATTCAGATAAAAAAATGTTTTGTTGGGTGAGATCAGCTGCACGATGTATCAGAGTCTGTTTCTCGCTCTCTCGGTTCACTTGTTCCACATGTATATGTTTGACTGTTGTTTGGCCTCTTTTATGTGCTAACTTCCTCTATAGAGTACATTTACACTGCTGGAACCTCGGAATAATCTCGGTAGTGTTGTCTCCCTTTAGTTATTGCAAAACACTTCTGAAGACTGTTAATAAAATTGGAACTGAACAAAACACACACACCAAAAGTGTTACAAACAGACCACAGTTGATCTGCATGCATCTCCTATACAGTTGCCGATAAGGCAATGTGCTTACGCTCTTATTTAAAGATAAATAACTTAAGCTTGAGGCACTGTGATGATTTTATGTCGTTTATTGGCAACCAAATATGCAGTCCCCTTCCAGCTTTTTGTCCAAACTGTAAATGCAAGAGGGCGGTGAGACGTGTCATCTCTGTATATTTATCCCTAAAGATTTAGAATGACACTTTCCACACGACTGTATAACAAGAGGATGTCTTCAACCTTCAAACACTGAAGTTATTTATGTGCAAGCCAAATGTCATAACGAAGGTAGAATAAATGTATTTTTCTTCTGTAGGAATGGGTTCCTTTCTGTGTATGGAACACGGAACGTAACGAACGCGTCAGGACCACAGGTATGTTTCACACAGGTAAAAATATTGATTTCAGATCCACTAATGGTTTTCAGTGACACAGTGTTCTTACTCTGCGCAGTCTCTTTGTTTTCCAACCCGTTAAGATCCGGGTAAGAATTGATCTTCAGTAGCCCATGCTTGTCGTAAGAGGCGACTCATGGGATCGGGTGGTCAGGTTCGCTGACTTGGTTGATACATGTCATCAGTTCCCCATTGCACAGATCGATGCTCCTGCTGTTGATCACTGGATTGTCTGGTCCAGACTCGATTATTTACACACCGCGGCCATCTAGCGGGAATATTGCTGAGTGCGGCGTAGAACTAAACTCACTCACTCACTCTTTGTTTTCCGAAAGAGAGACGAAACATCTTTCAAGAAAAGGGTTTACCTTCATATTTCACATATTCAGCACACGGACATTGCCAGTTAGTTAGGGCATCAGACGTCCTCTGCCCAGTGATTACAACCCCACGAAAATCTGGGTTAGGATTGGTCTTCAGTAACCAAAGCTTGTTGACTAACGGGATCGAGTGTCAGGCTCGCTGACTTGGTTGATGACACATGTCATCGTGTCCCAATTGTGTAGATCAATACTCCTGATCATTGGATTGTCTGGTCCAGACTTGATTATTTACAGACCGCCGCCATATAGCTGGAATATTGCTGAGTTGAGCGTTAAACAAACAAACAAACAAACAAACAAACAAACAAACAAACAAACAAACAAACAAACAAACAAACAAACAAACAGACAACACAGAAGTAATTACACCCCCGTCACATTGGAGTTCACGACAGTCGAATCTACTGAAATTCTTTGGTCATCTATTAAGGTCATCCGCGTATTACGCTCTTGGATGAATGGTATGTGTTCTCTACCACTCCAAGTTTCGTGCAAAGTGTGGAGAACGTTTTAGTTATAGTAGGGGTATGGGGAATATTTCTTGTGATGGCCTTTCTTTACTGGCTGTTTCAAGTTAATAATATTTTGTGTCATAACTCAATCCAAGAAGAACATATTCAGTATCATACATTATAAGGAATACCGAAAAAGTGAGAAATATTTCCCCAACTTCAGTGAACAGTTTTTGATGATGCTAGTAAATGATTCCTCGTTTTCAAACTGAAGATGAGCTCATGATACCACCTCCTGAGGTGTCCAATTATATGTTGCAGCTTTCCTGTATGTAGCTATTATGTTCCTACACAATACCAAAAATAAAGTTGAACTGCAACATACACGATGAAGCTGAAACTCTTGCTACGTTTCACAGAAATCAGTATATTATTACTTTTTCCATATACATATTCTTTTTACTCAGTTAAAGTTGTAATGCACGTGCATCACGATCACATCCCGTGATTGAATAATTTAAGCAGATCCATCGCTCTATTTGGATCATGAATGTAACCATTTTATTTAGTCCGGCTCTACGTCAAGGACCACATTGCTACTCAGGCTGAAATGCGACCAAACCTTAGTCAGAAACTATCATCGAACACGAATAAATATCATGCACTACTTGAGCTCAGCTTGGATTGTCAGCTATAATATTTCACTGGGTGCAGTTAAACAAAACACACAAATACCTTCGTGTGAACAAGACCCTATTAGGCTATTATGGATATTTTCTCTCTCTTTTTTCGCTCCATTTCAGAATAATTACTAGACAAATTATGTCATGCTCAAGAAACAAAATGCTCCTACATTTCGACAAAGGTTCGACGCATTGCCTTGAAAAAGCAGATAATATATAGAGGGCACAGCCACCCATACGTTATCTGGAAATGAAGCCAAACTTTTGTTAAAAATCTAAAGGCTCGTGCTACACTTTAATGCCGAGTATACCTTATGTTCTGTAGACGATTCCCAACTTGTTTGAAGCAGCGAAGCGAAATTGACAAAAGACATGTGAATGAATATTGAGAAAAAAATACAAGAAACTGTTGCCTCATTTTAATGTCATGTCAAATGAACTCGCAAACACTCAAATGTAATTTTAATAATTGTTCCGTGAATGTGGAAAGGATTTTGTCGCTTCCATTGTAAGGGAAACTGTTTCCTTCCTGTGATTGTAATCACATATCTTATGAAAATGGAATCCCATTCGTCCATTCAAATATACCTGACGTTTTTCATAAACAGAGTATGTCCCATTTCACTAACACCGAAAGAAACATACTTTAAACAAACTGACACTTCATGTGTTTCCAATTTAATTACCTACAACTCATATTTTCCCAAAGTATCACCGTCAAAGAATAACTGTCGCCAGCCGAAATATACGTCCAATCTAGACTGACAGTATCTTAGACTGGTATCTCAGATTTGTGATCTCGTCCTAGTAATTGCATCTATAAAAGGTGGGGCCAACTGACACTAAATTTCCTTGTCCTCTCTAACATAGTCTACTCACAGTATTTTGTGTGTCTCTCGTCTTCATACTTATCTAACTAAATCACTATAGTACATCTGTTTAAAGCGGCATTACACCACTTTCCATTGAATAACAACTCGTTCATTCATCGCTACAAAGAGAAACGAAGCAAAACAGAAACAAAAGCTGAAATATACCCGTACAACATAATTGTCTATTGTATAGGAAATGTGAAATACGTTCACAAAATAGAAGCGTGACATCAAGTATTACAAATGTTAGCATTGTTCTTCAAAAAATATATAATTTATACCTGAAATCTCACTAAATCTCATTGTTCAACCATATTATCACATGAATGTCTCATCTTCAGGGTCATCTAACGGACACTAATGAAAACTGCGCACATCCAAACAAGCAAAACAATCTGAAAAAAGAAAAATTTGGCTTGGGTTGACATTTCAACATAGTGTCTGTTGTGCATGATATGTGAAAACAGGCACACAGTATACCCTTGACCTAAAAACTTCAATATGATATATGGGTTAGGGAAATATCATAGAAATATCTTCAGGAATTTCCTTGGGTCCATGCATTGTTGAACGGATGACGGGATCATTCTAAATACGCATACAGTGGTGTGGTCATGTACACCGATGCCCATGAAATGAAAGGCAGCAGGTTCCTTTTACAAGTGTACCATAGTAAGACCTGTTAAATTAATCAGCACTTCTGAGTACCAAAAAACTAACCAGCACTGGGTGCGTTAATCATCAATTCTATTCAACATAAAATGTTCTTCGTTTTGGAAAAACGAATAATATATCCAGACGCTAAGCATTAGTCTATCATAAGGAGAACAGTGAGGTATATTTCCTTTAGGGATTTCTTTACACTTCAGCTGTGCCCAGGACGTTTATACTTCAGGAACCAATGAGGTTCAGCACACTGTTGAGATGAAGTAGTTGTTGTGGAGCTCAGGTCATCCCAGGAATCTCCCCAAGAGCTATATCTACTGGTGTGTTTCACCTGGTGATCATGTGGTCTATTACACTTCATGCTGGATACGACCTCTTTGAATATTGCATGTCTGCAATTCACTGACAAAGCCATGCTTATACGTCTTGGTGAAGACACAAGCCATTCCAGACTAACCCCTTGCACAGTATGTCACGATATTCAATGACAAACGCTTAAACCACTGCTTTTTCATTCTTTTGTTTTATGTCAGACAAAGATGTACTCTTTCACTTCCGTGTCTGTGCATACAAATAAGAAACCGTATTTTTCACAGAATACATCGCACATGCGTGCTTCATCGCCATCTTCTAACGTGAGCATTTCCCTGACAAATTCCCCCGTCTCTGTCAGCTGTATCACCTTGAACCTGCTTTCTACAAGCAGGATGTCCCCTTTCGTGGTAGTTGTGATACCAGCAGCGCTTCGGAGTACACTGTCTCCGGTAGGCGCGTATCTCCACACAACATCCCCCTCTAACGTCAGGCATGTCACAGACTTCTTCAACCAGTCAGACACGAGTAGATTGCCCTTCATGTTGACACCCATGTGCCATGGTGCATCATTGTGTGCATTGATTGACCTCAACACGTGTCCAGACATGTCCAGGATTTCAACAATGTCGTAACCATCACAATCCTTGCCACCTGCTGCTAGAGATGAAAGGTCTAGAACAGCCAAACTGTAGTAACTATTGCTAGTTAGGATGGTTGACAGCAGCACCAGATCAGGGGTCACCTCTACTGTTACAATCTGGTTGGAATGAGGGAAAGCAACCATCACCTGCTTCTGCTTCAACTGTGTTATTCCATATGGAGAGTCATCCAGGGGAAGCTTACTGTGGCATCGATGATTGTCTCTAGTGTACAAAGATTTCAGGCAGTTGTTAGAAAAGTCAGTGACAACACATGTCTGTATATCATCTACAGTCAGGACTGTTATGCACTTTAAGTCAGGGCTCACCTCATCATCCGTCACCCTCCCATCTATCGTGTCAACCAGTACTGGAGACAGTAGACATGTGCCCTGGTACGTGACGTCAATTTTCCCAAACTGCAGTTTATCTAGGGTCTCCAGGACCCTGAAAGTGTTAGGTATAAACCTGATGTCATCTATTATCCGGGCGTCTGCTGCCTCTGTATCCCTGACATCCTCCATCTCTACAGCTCCAGACTCCCAGGCCTGATACGCGTCATACAGGTCCATCTCACAGTCCGATACCAAGGCCTGGTCAATGGACTCACAATGTTGTCTGTACATCTGCATCTCGTTCTCTTCCAGCTTCACATCAGCTTGGAGTTGGTCGGCGTATGTCTGTGATATGGTATTCAGTTCATCCAAGAGTTGTGTTTCTTTCTGTTTAATCTTGTTAATGGCTGACTGGCAGAGCAACCTTATATTTTGAACAGCTGACTTCGTGATTCTAGAATTACTTTTGAGCTTCTCGTTTCGTATGTCTACTTTTTTCGACTTCACTTTCAGTCTCGTCTCCATGCCAAGTTTCTTCTCAATCAGTGCTGCCTTCATCCCTGGCTTCATAGACTCAATGGTGACGACAGTTTTACAAGCTCTGTGGTAGATGATACAACATGTCTGACAGGCAGCCTTCCGACAGTCTTTACAGTGGAACTCAACACTGTTACTCTTGTGTTCCGTACACGTGATCCTCCTTTTGACCTTTGACCTAGATGACAGGTCACACAGGTCATGGTTCAATAAAATAGGGGTAATCTGGTGTATCTTCACACATTTGTCGCAGAGGACCACTTCACACTCAGCACACCACAAGGCCCCTGGAGTTGTCTCCCCTAGTTGCTGACATATCATACAACAGGTGCTTGAAGTCTCTGTGAACACAAGTACAAACGTGCTTATTTTCATTGCAATTTCAAAAGGCTGGGAAAGGAAGCAGGGTATTTTTAACACACACAGATGTAAATGTTATGTCTACCACAGGTTTTAAATACATACACACACGCAGGCACACGCACACGCACACACGTGGATCACATGTTCACTTTACCTTGCACATCTACCTCGGACCTATAGGTGTCAATCAGCCCCTGTATCACAATGCTGGCTTTGATCTGCCCCGCCCACTCCTCCACCGGCCTACTGGGGTTGGGGACCTTGGTATTTTGTCGACAGCAGGGACAGGGGATGGTCTTGGACTGTACAGCATCTGGTCTGGTGTCGATGTATGAGGTGATACATTTCCTGCAGAATGTGTGATCACACCTCAGTGTACACGGGTCTGTGTACATCTCGAAGCAGATGGAGCATGTCAGGAAATCATCCTTTACTTTCCTCTCTAGCCCGGCGGTCGCCATCTGTAAGATACACATGCAGTTTTTGCCTGTTTAGTTTAATACAAATAGACTATGCTTTACTCACTACAGATTCCATAAGCAGCAATGGAAGATCTGAACATACACGCATCTGCATGTGAAGCTGTATACAAACACACTCACACACACAGACACACTTTAAATATAAAAAGATGTCTATCTACCTGTCTATCTATCTATCTAACTGTATAACTGTATATATATATATATATATATATATATATATATGTAGTGTGTGTGTGTGTGTGTGTGTGTGTGTGTGTGTGTGTGTGTGTGTGTGTGTGTGTGTGTGTGTGTGTGTGTGTGTGTGTGTGTGTGTGTGTGTGTGTGTAATATAATAATTATCTTTATTTGTACTGAGAAGGCCACAGTCCTATAGTACATAAAGTTACATTTGAGAGGAATTTAGATCGGGTAATCATAGCATACTAAATGAACATTGAAATATTTTGTAGAAGAACTGGATTTTTACTACTTAACAATGAGGAGAATTTTATTACATTTGGATGGACATAGTTATATCTTTTGATATATTTTGTTCGCAACCTGTCATAAAAAGGACATATTAGGAGAAAATGTAATTCATCTTCTATTTCGTTAAAATTACAAAGTGTACATATTTTATTTTCTCTTTTTACATTCATATATCTGCCTCCTTCAATCAACAAATCATGAGAAGAGCATCTGAATCGTGCCAGTGCTATTCTAAACTTTTTAACATTAATACAGGATAGATATGACTCAAGAACTGGCATTTTTAAACAATGAATAATACGTGCATTTATTTGATAAGGATATTCTTTCACACCATGTTTGAATATACATATCTTTTAGTTTTGTCGTTTAGGATTGTATGAATAACGTAGTCGATTCGACATATTGTGTATTCCATGTAATTCCAAAACCAATAGAATATAAAAAGTTTTTTACATTGGTTGCCCATAGTTTTTGTCCACCTTTATCATATAACAACATCATATTATAACACTTCTTGGGTAAGCGATTTGAAGGCATAATCAACAGTTTTAGCCAGTACTTAATAACTTTAATGCTTGTAAGAATGTGCATTGGGTACCTACCGCATTCACATAAATCACTGCGTTAATAGTGTTAATATTAACTCTGAGGAACTTTTTTTCAATTTCGTCAAATTTTGTTATTCCCCAAATTTCGGCCCCATATGATAAAATTGGACTGAGTTTGGCATCAAATATTTTAAAGAATGAAGAGTAGTTAATATTACCAAGTACACTCAACTGTTTCATAATTCCAATTAATGCTTTTTGTCCCTGTAACGATGCATATTTTACATGCCTCGTCCATGACAGGCCACTGGTGAAATATAGTCCCAAATATTTATAAAAGCCAATACACTCCAGCTGCATACCTTTATATAACCAGTTTTCCTTTTTTGACAATTTGCCTCCATTTTTGAATACAACAATTTTCGTTTTTTCTCTGTTTACAGTTAATGTCCATTTATCGCAGTAACTTTCAAGTTCCTTAATTTGATTCTGTAAGCCATTAATCGTGCTTTAGAACAAAACAATGTCATCTGCAAATAGCAATAGGAAAATATGAACTATATCAGGGTGGAGTTGAATCCCGTGTACACAATTAGTTTCGATTTGTCGTGCTAACTCATTTAAAAAAAAGGAAAATAGAAATGGGCTTAGTATACAGCCTCGTCTCACACCAAGTTGCAAGTCGAATGTTTCTGAATAATTATGATTACTTTTAATGCAAGCCTTAACATTTTCATACATATTGCATAAAAATTTACTCATTTTACTACTGAGACCGTGGGTATTAAAAAGATGCCAACGTTTTTTTCGTTGTATTGAATCGAAAGGTTTTAAAAAATCTACAAATAATGCGTAGAATGTCCCCCCTTTAAAGTTTAAATACCTTTGAATAATACTTTGCAGTATAAACATATTATCTAATGTCGTATATCCCTGTCTGAAGCCAGCTTGCGCTTCGCTGATCTTATCCATTGAGTCTCTCCACTTTACAAGTCTTTTATTTATTATAGAGGTGAAAGTTTTACTAAATATGCTTGGTAGTGTTATGCCTCTGTAATTATTTGGATAATTTATGTTACCTTGTTTATGGATAGGAACTATTATGCCAATTGCCCAACATCTGGGGAACGTACCAGTTTCTAATATCAAATTAAAGAGCAATTCTAAGTACGGGACGATAAGATCTGCTGAGTATTTAAAAAAATTCAGATATTGTTTTATCAATTCCTGGTGATTTATTACATTTCAGTTGGTTAATGCTATCTAAGATTTCATCTCTAGTAATTGGGGAATCAAGTATTACCTTGGTAAGCTCTGAATTCGGATCTGATGGGTTTTCATTCTCGAAATTATCACATGTTACATCGTCATTTTCATTGTGCAAAGAATTAAACAGTGTCCGAAAGTGTTCTAGCCAGTCGTTCATTTCGATGTTGTTTTGAGCTTCATGTCTAGTATTCAGGTGTTTGAGTTCATACCAAATTTTTTTTGAATCAGATATACTGTTTTCTATTACTCTCTGCTTCTCTTTATAATAATTAAGGCGTTTTTCCTTACAAATTGAGTTATATTTATTTCTTTTAGCGCAATATTGATCGTATGATTCTTTATCTTTCGATTTCCTTAACTTATTCAGAGCTTTACATCAGTCTGATTTTAATCTTTCACATTCAGAGTCAAACCATTTATTAGTTGTTGTTGTGGGAGGGCTAACTGTTTTCTTCATGCAAGAGGCGGCCAGACAGAGTGCCTCGGTCATATAGCTTATACTATCATCAATATTAACGAAAACACAGTCAATCGATTTATCTAGTAATTCTTGTACGTTATCTGACAAAATATTTTCTCTAAACTGTTCTAATTTATCGTTATCCCAAATGAACTTAAACGACTTATTCCTACATTTGGTTGGATTGCTCAAGTTGTACTGTTTTTAGTGTGTGTGTGTGTGTGTGTGTGAGAGAGAGAGAGAGAGAGAGAGAGAGAGAGAGAGAGAGAGAGAGAGAGAGAGAGAGAGAGAGAGAGAGAGAGAGAGAGAGAGAGAGAGAGAGAGAGAGATAGATAGATATGTAAACTGCATGTGAACCTCTGTACCCGAGCAGTCAGACTGGGATCACTGAGATCTTATTTACCTTACCATAGTTTCCATATTATTTACCATGCAAGTCCGTAGTAATCTTGGGAGCGTTTTCGTGCACATGGTGCCAATCTGAACTGCTTGTCGTTCAGGATGTTACTGCCACACAGTATCAGAGACAGGTTTTCACCCACGTCCTTCTGCTATATAAGCAGCTGCATGATCCAGGACGGACATGTTACCATGACAACGTCGAGCCCCACCTTGTTGTTTCTAACGCTGGTGTTGACGTCATTGACTGGCCTTCCCGTTCCCAATTGAGATATACACAGGATTTTCCCTGACTGTCTCTATTGAACAGTATATCATAAGGGAAGTTAGGCCAAAACCTTTATTCCTGCCAGATATATGCACTTGAAGTGTGGAAAACACAACCGACATATCTGCACCGCCACGAATTGGATCATGTACATATATTTAATCTAATCGCTCACCGTTAACCTCAACCCTTCTCAAAGGCAAACACTGACGCTACACATGGTCGACACGCCCCCTAGCAACCAGATGTAAGGTATCGCACAAAACACAGTAGGGGGAACGATTGAATGGACATCCTCACCGAACTTATACCTGAACATTGACTATTACACAAATCAATGAACAGGTCAATGTCAGATCTTATTTACGTCATCATAGTTACTATATTATTTACCATGCATGTACGTAATAATCTTGGGAGCATATTCGTGCCAATGGTCGATCTCAGCCGATTGTCATCCAGGATAATGTTACTGCTATACAGTATCGGGACCAGGTTAACAGGGACTTTCGACCCAAACCTACGTTCCTGCCAGATACATGCACTTCAGGCGTGGAGAACACACCCGACATACCTGCACCGCCACGACTATATATGGGGTCTATTCACTCGCCTTTAACCTCAAACACTGACAATGCACATGATTGGCAAGCCCCGCAGCCAGCAGTAGTAAGGTATCGCTAAAAGCACAGTACGTAGGAGGAACGATTAAACGGATACATTCATTGAAATTACACCTGAACACTATTAATCAAGTCCATGAATCCTTTGGTATAATTGGATTTACCCACTTAGCTCCAGTACTACGTGTTACAACACCATCGAGAGGATATCGTATAAAGTGATAACGAAAGTAGACCACAGGGGCTTGTAACGCTAAAAACTGCCATCAAGGTATATACTGTCACTGACGGGGTCTTAGTACTATCAACGCTAAAAACTGCCATCAAGGTATATACTGTCACTGACGGGGTCTTAGTACTATCAGTGCTAAAAACTGCCATCAAGGTGTATACTGTCACTGACGGGGTCTTAGTACTATCCCGTCAGTGACAGTATATACCTTGATGGCAGTTTTTAGCGTTACAAGCCCCTGTGAAGTAGACAACTTACCCTCACAATTATCACTGATTTCAAGACGTACTGACACTCGTACATTTCTATCAGATAATGAACATTTGACAAAACACAATAAATGGTATCAGTTGTCAGTTTAACAATATCTACTTTGCAGAAAATCACAAGCAATGACTTAAGTCTACCTTTCCGGTGGCTGTGTGTTCGTGTTGTTTGTCGCATTCGGTTGAACTCGACCTTTTCCGTAAGTGTTCTCTCGGCTGGGCGCGTATTGCCCTTTGTTGACGTGAAGGACGTTTCTGTGTATATGACACACATAAAGGGCTTTAGCCCGACAAACAGGTAAGTGTCTATGTCGGCCTTTCCGCCGATTTGTGGGTCCATTATTGTAAATCTTTGGTTACTTGTAGTCTATGGTACGTGATATGTTTTGAAGGGTATATACGTCAATAATGCTCCCACAAGGCTTACAATAAAAAGTATATTTAATGATCCTAATCTCTTGTTAAAACAGAAATATGGATGTGATATGATCTTGGATTCTACAGAATTTACTGAAAACACTTTGTTGAAGGTGTGTAAATAGCAAATACATGTATTTCTATTGTCTAGGACATCGCAGTGAGCCAGTAAGGGTGTACAAACGGTTATCTGACGACCAGAACGATGCAGTGTCTGACATCTGAAAAGTTAAGACCAGCCGAGGCCCACCCGCAAACCACCGTAACCATGGTTACAAAGATCGACCCACAGCCAGGATGTTCTGTTGGAGAGGCTTGTTCACAACCCGAAATCCCATCTACTGACTGGCACAAAGCTTTCCATGTCACAGTTAATAATTAAATAAAGAACTTTATCTTTTGAATTTTGTTATTTTATCTTGTCACAGGTATTATCACTGGTAAAACCCGGTTAGGGGTCTTTATTAAAAAAGTAAAACCTCTTACCGGGTTTTACCACTGATAAAACCTCCAAATGGAGATTATTCCAAGGTTTTAAGCTACCTCTTCAATACAATGGACAAAAATAGGGTTAGGTTTTTAATGTCTGTAAAACATGCACCCGGTGTTGGTATGCTTACAAGAAATTCAGATAATGTGTCAACATAACCAAAAGAGAATGTTGATGCATTAAAGTGGCAAAAAAAGCAACTTTTAGAAAATCTTTGAAACAACATAAACAATACTGGTTACAATTCTTTCCCTGTTCTACACCTACTCCCTGTGTTTCCCAACTAAGCGGTTTAATCTTTTACACATACGTATACTGAGTTTGAACACGGTATCCAAACAGTAAGTGACCGTTCACATGTATTCATGTTCATCCAACTTCTAAATGCCTTCCAAGAACTGAAATGCATGTGTTGTGTGATTGTTACTTATTACCCCCATTGACTTCTCACACCCGTGAAGGTCCGGGTTAGAATTGATTCTCAGTAACCCATGCTTGTCGGCCTTTTAAGGTGCAACATGTCATGTCAGTTATGGCAATATTTTAACCGATAACTGGATGGTTTAATTTAATAACTCTGGTTTGGTTTGAACGATTTTCATAACAAAAATAGTTTTTGAATGATCAGACCATGATTTAAAATTGTGGACAATAATATTACATATATGCTCATTGCAAAAATATTTTGGTAAGGTCAAAGGTCAGTTTTAATAAAAAGGGCATTTGATGAGAAAATGTGAGTTGATCTTTACAAATTAAGCGTAGGTTTTCCAAAATTATGTGTTTCCGATTCAGCTATATCATTTGAAGATCATATAAACCTTTGGTTGGCATTGTATTCATGAAAAACCATTCCAAGGAAATAAAGGTTGGTACTTTGTATTTAGATCAGCAAAACATAAGATAATTTCAGCTCCATGCTTTACAAAGTATCAACAATACTAAATATGTCGAAGATGCTGTTGAACTATCATACAAATTTGCGTTTATTGACATTCTAGCATAAACAACAATTCAGCTGATGTCAGAAGGAGATATGTTTTGATAAGTGTCAGTATTGCACTGACATTCCGTGAAACCCTTAAAGCTGATGGATAATAATATGACATCCTAATGGAAGGTTTACAATTGACATTATGGTGTTCCGTTTTTAACTGTTTACAATGTGAAATATTACAACTTTGGTTTTCTTTCTTTATTTTACACCGGCAATCATTGATACATTGTAAAAGATATGACACACTCATCAGAAAGGAGTTTTGGTATCTTACCACCAAATATACACACAGTCATGTCATCATAACACAAGCAACATTACCTTCATATCAATTCGTATTTATTGTTCTTAATAGTCATAGTGTATTCCCAGTTGACATGTTAGTCAATGTCAACATTGTCAAGATCACGGGAACATGTTTCATGTCCACATCCACATGCCGAAGCACACAACAGGTTCAACCTCTTGCAGCTACTCCTTCCTGTACATTGGCGTTTATATGCACAGATATGTTGAAGAAGGTCCACGGAAACGATTTAGTCTTAACTTATTTGCAACCTTATCACAGAGGAACAGAGGAATATTTGATGAAGATCTATTACGAAAGAAACGTACTGCTTTAAATACAAAACAGTAAGTGCCTAGTTTTGTGGACAACTCAAAAAGAAATTCCTAGACAATATTCATATAAACATCTTGCTTCTACTGTAACGTTCATAAAAATATGCATACCTTGGTTTTAGTAATATGTAATGATATACACAAAAGAGTTACACATAGCATGGTCATGACACTATGGGCATCGATCTTCACAAGTGGGATACGATGGCATGCATCAAACAAGTAAGTGAGAACGACCACCCGATCACATTAGATCGCTCTTGCAACATGGGTTGCTGAAGATCAATTTTGACTCAATTAACATATTTGTGAACCTGCCAGAATGGTTAATGAATAAATGCATAGTCAGTCTCATGATATCTATTGTATATCATTCCAAATGCTATTACTGACAACAGAATGTATGTCGCCAATATCTTTTCTAGTCTCTGCATAAGTCGTACCTCAGAGAGCCAATTGTCAAGCTGCATTTAATTAATATCAGCTGTTACGTACACGCACAGAAGTTGGTATATACGTTGACAGACACTTTAGAATATATTTTGCGCGGAAAACCTTGAATCGTCTATACATATTGACAGTAGTGAGTGACCTCGTCTAGATAGATACTAAAAGACCAACTGTCGTTCCTTTCCCGATTTCCATATGTCGCATGACTACGTTGTCCTTCAAGCAGAGAGTACAGTACAACGTCAGCTCTAACATATTGACAGACCTTACCCAGATGAACATTACCAAGTCGGCTGTAGTCAACTGCATTGTTCCAACAGCTGTGATCAGCAGAGTGTGTTTCAAATGCTTGCCCAGATCTAAATATACTGAGTCAAAAAAGAAACTTCACATTCTTTCTTCAGGGCACTATAAAAGAACAAGAGATGGTAAGATTGTTAAATTGTTATTATTTCATTGCTGAGATCTGTGTGATGTACTCGATACACTGACAGTGCCATAATCAGTTCCATTAGGCTACACCGCCGTTCCAAAACATGGGTATACAGAATGTCAAGTCACAAATAAGAATAAAAATGCGAAATTTCTCAGTTCAATATCGTGTATGGCCGCCCCACGCATTCACTACTGCCAAACACCGTCTCCTCATCGACTGCCTGATGCTTGTGAACACGTGGTTGGGGATTCTGCGCCATTGCTCTTGCAAGGCAGCGCCAAGTTCCTGCAAATTCTGAGGTTGGTTCCCAAGACCACGAAGCCTTCTCCCAAGTGCATCCCAAACGTGCTCTATTGGATTAAGGTCAGGGGACCTCGATGGCCAGTCCATGACGTTGATTCCAGCGTTTTGAAGGAAATTTCGTGTGAACATCCAGGTATGCGGCCGAGCATTATCATGCTGGAACTGTAGACCTGGGCCATGAGCCGAGTGAAAGGAACGAGTTCAGGGGTGAGCACCTGGTCGCTCTAAGCAGCAGCTGTGAGGTTTCCACGGATGACCAGAAGTCGGGAACGGTTGTTCCCACAGAAAGCACTCCACACCATGCAACTTCCGCCCCAGAATCTGTCGACTTCCTGTACACAACATTGGGCATACCGTTCACGACGTCGTCTCCAGACTCTATGCCTGCCGTCCACGAATCTGAGAGTAAACCTGGATTCATCGCTAAAGACGACTCGATTCCAGTCTCTCTGGGTCCATCGGAGGTGACGTTGGGCCCACAGCAGACGTTGACGTTGATGAAACGGCGTCAATATTGGCCCACGATATGGACGTCGAGAATTGAGATTTGCAGTCCGCAACCGATTTCGAATGGTCTGTGAGGACAGTCGACCTCTAAACATCTCAGCCCTGGTTCGTGTAGCCGGCAGAAATCTGTCACGTAGGTGACGTAGGACGATTTGACGGTCTTCTGCTCGTGACGTCACACGTGGACGACCCGACCTTGGGCGATCAGAAGTGGTGCCAGTTTGTTGTAGACGACCTCGCAAGTCATACACTGTACGACAGCTGCATCCCATTGCTCTTGGGACGCCAATAACTGATCTTCCCGCTTGCAACATGCCAACGGCACGTTCACGTTGCACATTTGACAATCGTGGCATTTCAAGTACCGTTAGAACTGTGGTTAAAAGTGGTTTTTTTCAATTCTTGAGGCCAATGCAAACACGTGCATATGAAGAAAACTTCGATCCGAAGATCACGTGATCGACTGCACGTGCAAAACCTGATTTGTCACTATCGTCAGTTGCACGACGAATGGATGGGTTTGAGTGGGCTTTGCTAACGTTCTTCTAGAGTCGGAAGATAGGGATCCCATTTCGGATACATAGATGTATCATCAGAGAAAAAGTATTCATTATTTTTCAAATTACATTTTGTGAAATTTCTTTTTTGACTCAGTATATTTAGTTTCCGAATGCTAATATTACTAGGATTAAGGTTTTTAAATGCGTTTCCCTCCTTGTAAGAACCACATTCGGTCTGTATCGCTGGGACCTTACACATGCTAGTAGTCTTTCTCATACTCCAAACTTTCGGCCCAGCCCCTTCTGTAATGCAATAGTCCAAAATGAAGCCAGTCTAGTTCTGAGTCTCCGAACTCACTGGGGCTAATTCAGTATATACGGAGTTATATATTGCTATCAAAATTTCCTATTTTC